AAATTGCTCTACTATGATCCTAGAAAGCGTAGAAAAAGAAATATCCTTCAAAGGACCTAAAACGAAGTAGAAAAATGGGGATGAACAGGGTTGGATCATCAACCCTGTCTCTGCTTTTTATCAGAAAAATTTTCTTTCCTTTTGCTCTCTCTTTTCTTCCTCACCCCTAGATCTTGTGCGGCTGCTTTCTAACTTGTTCTTTTCTCTATCCTCCAACCCTAAAAGCTCTCTTGCTTCCTATTTATATGAAAACAAAAACCCTAATCTAGAAATGATGGGTAGGATGAATTTTTTGGAAATGATGAGGAGTCCCTTTTGATGAATATTTTTCGATAAAATTTGGGAGACGATGAGTTGTATATGTACTAACCAAACTTTGGGGAAAAAGAAAGAGAAAAGAAAGAAAAATAAAATGAAGCCATGAAGCTTTTTGTACTAGTCTTGCCGTGAAATTTTGGAGAAGAAACACGCGCTTGCATTGCACGTACGGGTGAAAATCATTCAAAAAAAATATTTTTTGCGAAAAAGAAATGGACCAATGGGCCTTGGTTCTTCAAGCCTACCTTCTAGGCTTCAAATTTTTTTTTTTTTTTGCATGGATTTTTCTTTGGGCTTCATTTGGGTTTTGGGAGTTTTTGATAGGTTTTATTGTTAGGTTTGTTTTTTGATTATTTAATAACTAGTATTTTGACCCGTGCTATGCACGGGTTATATTTCAAATCAAAATAATATTTATATATTTATGTACTGTGATACAAAATAATAAATATATATATAGACTAAAAATTTTAAAGAAGTGTATGCTTAATATTTTGAAAAAAAAATTTAATCTATAATGATTTACATGATAAAATAATTGTTAATGCATTTAAGGAGATGGTTAGGTTGGGTGGTAAGGTGAAAAGAGTTTTCTAAAAAAAAGTCAATTTATCAATATCCGACAAAACATATTATGTTATACCCATATATCAAAACTTATAATATAAAAAAAATAAATTATAACCAATTTATTTTCTTCCATTTTTAGAAAAAAAATCTTTCTTCTATCTTGTGCCCCTAAATTTGTTGACTACATTTAGATTAGCATTTTTCAAAAACTTTAACGTATATTTTTAAAAAAATTCTCCGTAATATGTGTTTTTAGAGTTCTCAAAATTATTAAAAATCATTCATTTCCCTCTTCTCTTATACGCCAACTAGTCATCAGATGTCTCCTACAACTTTCATGTCTTCTATCATGGTACCACCCTCTCTATTATTTTTTTTTTGTCATCTCTGTCATATCTCTGCAATCACCTTTCTTTTTCTCTCTCTTCTCCTTCCATACTTGTAACACATATTTCTTCGTCAACCTTTCCTACTACTTTTCAACACACAACACATCACTATTTTCTTCCTTCCCTTCTCCCCCTATACCTAACCTCTAAATTCATATCCTTGCGATCAAATATATTTAACTTTACCTATCATAATGAAAATATAAAATTGAAAATTAATTACTATGGTTGCAATTATTAGTATCTAAAAATGGAAATGAAAAACTGATAATATCTATAATACCCTCAAGTACTACAATCAATATATATATATATATATATATTAACATAGCAAATACATATTTACATATGAAGACAGCAATAAGAATACATAAAATAATTAATGATACCAAAAGTTATCCTTAGTGTTTGGGTTTTGCACTCTTATTCAAATCTAATGTCAAATTTGGGCCAGATATATACAAATTAAGTAGTATTTTAGGGTTGAATGTTCTATATCTTTCTTTTAAACTATAATATTACTTTTTTTTATAATTTTTGGTAGAATTGGTGTTGTTATTATCATTATTTTTTTTTTATCAAAAATGAATATTTCAAAAAAAAATTTCCACTTTAAAAGGTTAGTAGTACTTTTTTTTTATTTATTGATTTCATAATTTGGATTTCATGAATGGTACCATTCTTGATTTTTTAAATCCACGACATTATTTCCTTTTTGTTTTCTATTTAATTTTGCCCTTTTACTTAGGATTACTAAGTTTAAAGATAAAATATTATCATTTACTTTTTTACTTTTACTAAGTTTGGCAATGTTTTATTTTTATTTACCCTCCCACTAATAAATTTCAAACCAAATTCCTATGTAACCGAAGCCACTACTTTTTTAAATTAGAAAGGCATGGGAGCCACTTCTTACTTAAGAAAATGTTATTTGCACTCAATTTTTTATTATTTGCAATTCCACCATTTGTTTTATCATATAGTCTAATTAATGAAAATTATATGATCAAAATGATTATTGAAGTGTGAATAACAAAAATGGAGCGTAAATAATCTTACTTATTCAAATTAATAAGAAAGCATGAAAGGATGTTATATTTGTTATCTCTTCTTATGGTCTTATAGAAGTTTTAATTGTTATAAAATCATAAATAATGCAAGGCAATCGGAAACGTGATGGATTGAAGTTCAAATAGGATAACATGCACATTAACCAACAATTTCAAATGAAATGATTTTAAAAAGTAACCGACAATTTCAAATGTGAAGAGTAGATGTGGAAGTTGAGAGAAATATATTTTATAAATTAAATTAAATGTGAAATGCTAGAAAAATAGAATTGATAGTGAGAAAATACGTGGTGGTTTGTTGCTAAAAATCCCTTTTCAAATTTATATAGATATAGATTGAGGTTGAAACAAAAGAAAAATCTCTACTATTTTTCTCCAATTTTGAACATCTATTTTTTTTCTTTTTCTTTTTTTCTTTTTACATAAACCTATAAAATAAAATTAAAATGATTAATTAAATAATTTATAAGTAAAAACAAAAAATAATAGACTTGAAATTGAGAAAAATTTAAAAGTGTCTACACTTATTATTAGGGGTGGGCAAAAATACCCGCCAACCCGAAAATCCGAGAGATCCGATCCGAGCCGAAAAATAGGATACCCGATCCGATTTCTCTCAGCGGATCAGATAGGGTCAGGTACCCGGAATATTCGGATACGGATACGGATCGTAAAAGCAAAAACCCGCGGGTACCCGACCCGGGGTATATTATGTAACTATTAAAAAATATAGGGGCAATTTTATAATTTTATAAGTTATTAACCCTAACCTAAAGAGTTCAGCCGACATTCTGATCGAGTGCAACATCATTTGCCTGTGTTCATCCTCTGTCTAGGCAATCCCTTTGCCGCTCCTGATCTGATCTTGAAGCCTTGCCTCCATCACTCCATGGTTAGACTCGCTGCTAAAGCCTTCCCTCATTTTCCCCTGCTGAAAATCCTCCATCCGCGCCTCCGCCCTTTTGTTTATGTTCTTTACTCCGGGAAAATTGCTTGATTTTATATATAATGTATTATCATTTGATTTTTTGTTGATTAGTATTGTTTTTTTTCTCAAATTTTCTGTTGCCCAATTAGGGGTGAGCAGATTCGGTTCGTACCGAATTCATAACCGATTTCAAATTCAATTCGGTAATTTGAAATCGGGTATTTGGTAATTCGGTACCAATTCAGTACATACCGAATTCACCGAATTCTAATATGGTATAAAATAGGTAACGAGATTATGAATTTGGTAATAACCGATTTCGAATTCAAAATTCAGTAATTGAAATCGGGTACCGTATTACCGCATTCGAATACCAAATTGATATATAAAATTATATAATATATAGATAAATGCTATTTAGTATTAGTATATACTACTAATACTTTATTATATTAAATAGGTAAATGCTATTAATAATAATTAGTAAATGATATTATCATCATATCATGTACTTATAATACTAATAATATATAATAATGTACAATATATTTATATTATTTTAGTATTTATTAATTGTTATATGACTACAATAATGCATAGTAATACATTACAATATAAGATAACTATAATACTTATTATTTTATACATGAGTAACATACTAACATGACTAGAATTAGATAATAATTAATACATATATGTATAATACTAAATATTAAACAATAAACATAATTAGTAATTAGAATTTAGATATTGGTAATTTGATACATCATTCATGTTTGAATTATTGAATATTTGAATGCGTAATCTATAACTTGCAAGTATTAGTGTACTCTAAATTTACATTACATATTCACTAATCTTAAGACTTTAAGTATAGATAAGACAACTAAACAGTGTAAGTGAATGTATATGAATTGCAAATCAATGTATTAGTGTATTGACTTTCACAATAACATATGTAAGTAAATTTCAAGTTTGTAACTAACATAACTTATCACTAATAATTGTAATTTGTAAGTTTGTAACTAATATTACTTAGTATTAATCATTGTAAATTATAAATTCATAAATTATTACTAATCATTGTATAGTCTAAGGTTTATTCTAGTTTAAATTAATCATTTTTTATGTGTTCCTTAAATCATAGACTAAGGATTGTAGGTATAAGTAATCAAATAAGTTAAAATTCATATTATCTATTTACTAATCTTAAGGTTTTAAGTATAGACAAAGTAACTAAACAGTGTAAGTGAATGCATGTGAGTTGCAAATCAAGTAAATAAGTTTTATTTTGATTTGAAATAAATTATAAGTTTGTAACTAATGTAACTTATCACTAATCATTGATTCATTGTAATTTGTAAGTTTGTAACTAATATTACTTATTATTAATCATTGTAAATTATAAATTCATTGTAACTACTAACTAAATTAGTTTAAATTAATTACTTTTTATGTGTTTCTTAAATCATAGACCAAGGATTTTAGGTATAAGTGATCAAATAAATGCCAATTAAACCACAAAATGATTTGAACATAAGTAATGTGTTCAATTATGAATAAATTTGGGGATCAAATCAGTAATAATTTTTAAATCATTGAGGAGCATAATGAATGTATTATAATTTAGGAGCCCCAATTTATAAATTAAAAATTACAAAGTCACTTCATTTGGGAAAAGTCGGATTTCATCTTCAGCTGATGAAAAGTGAGAAAACAACCATTGCAACTTTGCAATATTGCATAGTGCCGTGGCTGCCGTCGCCTAGGGCTTTCACCGCACTAACACTCTCAAGTCCCAAGTCCCAATTCCCAAATCGAAGCTGCTCTCCGCCTCTCCGGCATCCGCCAGTCCGCCGCGCTCTACGTCTCCTGTCGGCTGTGTCCTGCCGTGCTGGTTCATCGCTGCCGAGTGTAGAAGACGAAGCACCAAGATCTCACTGATTCATCGCTGGTTCATCACTGCTCATCTCTGGCTCGCTTAGGTAAGTGCTCCTCTGTTTTTGGCTCTGTGTCTCTGGCATTAAAATGGGCCAAGATCGACTAGGAAATTTGTTATCCTGAATTGATAAGGGGACGAAATCTGAGCTTCCAATTGCAAACTCTAACTGTTGTAGTAGTTTAGATTAGGTGTGATATAACATAAGCTTTGTATTTTATACACAAGAAAGCTCTCTCCAGTTGTGCAGCGTTTAAAAGTCACGGCCTTGGGGAAAAATTCCACCTTTTACCCGTTAGAAAAATTAAAAAGGAAAAAACTTGCTAAAATGAAAATTTTACCTCCTTGTCCGTGGAGATTCTCAATCTCTGGTGCACATCTAGTGAAAATACGGCTCCAGAAGTTGTACCTAGGATTCTGGATATGAATTTTCTGCAATGTGTAAAAGAAGAAACATCTATGTATAAATAAGCAGAAAGGTCACCTTAATAAGCTCAATAAAAGTAATCAGCTCCTGAATAAGTAATGGAAAGCATTGGAGCAAGTCTAGAACATATCGAAGAGAGCAATTTAGCTTTTATAACTACAAACCAGTAGAAGGCCTACATATGTCTAGCTTCTTTACATATTTTCAGTCTAATATTTGTAGCTTTCTCATGGCTTGCGGGGGTTGGTAGTTGCTGAACTATAAAGATTGGTTTTATATATTCTCTTAATTTGCTTCAGGGTTTTTTTTTACATAACAGATGAATTCGGTCTCATTACAGTTTTCGAATTTGAAATCGGGTACCGCATGAATTCGGTAATGCCCAATTCGAAAATGAAAACGGTTTAGATTTCTATAGGTGCAATAACCGAAAAAACCGAATTCAGCGCACCGATTTACCGCATTTGCACTGAATGCTCACCCCTATGCCCAATGATGGAAAAAATTGTTAATATTGAGGGGATTGACAGGGTTTAAAATTCAACGGTTGCCTTTGCACTTCACCGGAAAAATTAGCCGCCACCCACCTCTGTCCAGGCAATCCCTTTGCGCCGCTCCTGATCTGATCTTGAAGCCTTGCCTCCATGGTTAGACTCACTGCTAAAGCCTTCCCTCATTTTCCCCTGCTGAAAATCCTCCCTCGGCGGCTCCGCCCTTTTGTTTATGTTCTTTACTCCGGGAAAATTGCTTGATTTTATACACACACACGCACACACTGGTGCATGGCTTGGCTGGTTTTTTTGTCGGTGATCTGTAAAAGGCATCTGTTGAATTACCTGTCAAATTCCGTCTATGATTCATTGAAGCTATGAGATCTGAGGGCTTCTTATGAAATATGTTTGAAATTTTTTGCGTTTTTGGGATATTTATTGCTTTAGTTTCTTATTTAGTTGTGGTGGCTTTCAACCATTTGATTCTTTTTGGTTTTTTATATAATTGAGATTATTTATTCTTTTCATGTATATCTATTAAATAATTCTTGATTTTTGCCCAGTGACAAAAATTTTGTGGCAAAAGAGCAGTTCTTTTGGTTGCTATTTATTGTTAGCCTTTTGTGGTGCCATTGCCTGATTTCCTCAGGGGAGCAAAGCGTAATTAACCCTTTTTATTTATTCATTCATTTATCCATTCATCATCCATTGATCCAGATGATCTTCTATCTATCTATCTATCTAGCTGTGATGATAAATCATATCAGAGCTGCCATACAGATGGTACCAAAAGTGCTTGATAAATGTCACTGCTAGTAACCTTAAACTGCAAATGATGGTTTTTGATTAAATATAGTCCTAAAATAGCTATCAAATCTGAGGACTTTTGATTTTATATCTTGTTGTTCAACATCTATTCAGTTGAACTTTCAGGCTTTGGCTCATAAGTTTTGTGCATAGTATTCATTTATGGGGGATTTAACTAAGTTGTTGTTTTGGAATTTTTGCCCAGTGATGTTACTCAAGCAATAACAATAGTAAGGTTGCTTTTGATTTTCACAATAAGTCTCCCCAGCATCTGGACGTACAGGCTACAGCAGGTTCATCTTATGAATGCAGAATTTGCATTCTTTAAATAGGGGCGGGTACCCGATGACCCGCCCCTATTTTTCGGGTATCCGAGGACAATCGGAGCGGATTAGGGTCAAAAAAAATAGTGACCCGACATCTTAGGGTCGGGTCAGCCATTTGCCGTTCGGGGCGGGTACCGACCCGTGCCCACCCCTACTTATTATATAGTTTCATTGTTTTTTGTTTTGTGCATTGTGTTTTTTGGAGTATGGACTCAGTTAATCATGCTTTTATAGGAGAACGAATGCGCATAGCGGAAGAGATCACTTTGTTTGAGGATTCCTATCTGTTGGAGTATAAGGATTGTCAACAAGGGCATTGTTTTCAACAAAAATAATGGCAGATTACCATTTTGTTTACAAGGATCTGGAAGGTGCCTCGACGCAATGGGACGATATCCAGAGAAAATTAGGGAACCTTCCTCCCAAACCCCCTGCTTTCAAGCCCCCTTCTTTCACCCCAGCCGAAGACCCCGACTCAAAGCCTAGAGACAGGGCCTGGGTTGATGACAAGACTGAAGAAGAACTTGAAGACCTTGAAGATGATCTTGACGATGATCGCTTCCTCCAAGAATACAGGTACCTCTTAACTTTTTTCATTTTTTGTGGTGGTGGGCCTTTTGATTTTCCTGTATTTGGTCGTTGAATTGTCTTCATACATATATTGGGATTTCAGTAACTGAGGATTGAAAGTTAATTTCATTTTTTAAATTTCTTGGTAATTAGGATTATATTGGAATTATTTCCCATCTAAAGAGATTTTGAATTTCGGTAACAGTTGTGGAACTTAGTTCTTCAGTAATTGAGGTGAAAAATTAGGTGCATCTTGAGAAAAATGAGCTATCGAATTAGTGTAGTTTCAGTAAATGTGGAAGCTAATAGGTGTTTTGGTGACTTTGCAAAGGAAGAAGAGGTTGGCAGAGATGAGAGAAGCAGCCAAAATTGCGAGGTTTGGGTCAGTGATGCCAATTTCTGGATCTGATTTTGTGCGAGAAGTTTCACAAGCACCAGCAGATGTTTGGGTTGTTGTGGTTCTTTACAAGGACGGGTAATTATAACTTATTAAGCACTGTTTTCCTCTTCACTATTATCTTTGTGGTGATGTTAAATTTTTTAAATATTGGTTTTTATGTTGGAGGTACTAGATTGTTTAACACTACACATTTTCTGATAGACACGCTGATTGTGAGCTTCTTTTGCAATGTTTGGAAGAACTGGCTCAAAGATATCCGGCAACCAAGTTTGTGAAAATTATATCTACTGACTGCATTCCTAACTATCCTGATCAAAATATTCCAACTCTTTTGGTGTACAACAACAGTGCAGTCAAAGCAAACTATTTGGGTCTCCGTAGCTTTGGTCGGAAATGCACACCTGAAGGTATGTTGGGAGTTTAGGCTTCTGCAATTCTTGATATCTTCTAATGGAAGTTGATGTCTATATTGCCTTGAAACCTGTGTTTTATGGAATATTCATGGTTCTTATTGTTTTTTGTTTAGATTAGGATTAACTAGCGGAGGGACTGAGTATATGATAACTATTTGATTCCCTATTTTAATCTTTTGTAAATTGAATCTGCTATTTTCTCTGACTGATTTCATAAACTGCATTTCCAAATCTTTAGGTGTTGCATTAGTTCTTTGTCAGTCGGATCCAGTTCTCAATGATGGTCAGGGTGGGGGTGAACAGTCTAAGAAAGATGTTCTTGATGGAGTCAGGAAGAGTTTTATAGAGAAGGTTGTGACAGCGCGCGAAGATGATGACGGATCTTCAAGTGATTAGACTAGGACTTTTTCTCCCTTTTCTTGGACAGATTATTTCTTTTTTATCTCCTTTAGGTTATCCGTCAACTTAAGGTTTTGGTTTGCAACTATGGGGATATTGTCTGATATTTTCCCCATTATTATGCTTTAGTTTAGTTTTGTGGCAGGGTATTCCAGATCTTGATGTGCTTGTTCCATTTTTTGGCTCTCATGTACTTTTCATTCTAGTTGCAATGAAAATTTATTTTGTTTGTGGTGCTGTTTTAAATGAGTGGATTGTAATTGACTACTAGATATTGCCCCAGACAGCTCATTAATTGGTACACATGTTTCTTTTTATTAACTATGGTTTGCTCATACTTTTGAACAGTTTGTGTTACATTCAATCTAAGGTCTAATCGACATGTATAGCTTGATGCCTTTGAGAATTTTAGAGTGTTGAATGCCTTTTTGATAGATCAATAAACTGTTGTACTAAAATTTTCCTGTGTGATTGTAAAAGTTTCATTTTATGACCTTCAATTCATAGTGTTTTTTTGTTGTTTGGTCTTTCTTTTGCTGGTCCTGCATGTGTGTCATTGAAAACTCCTATCTGCTTATCTTGGTCTTTTGCTGTGTGCCAACTTATGCTGGTACACTATTCTGGGCTTGAGTAATTAAGAATGTCAAGTTTCAAGAAAAGAAATGGTTAATTTGTGTGATTATTGCTAAGTTTGACGTTGATCTTAAAATTTGGTACAGCACTGAAAGTGGAATTTTCACGATTCTGCTGGGTTGGATCTTCTACTCCTCTCGGTATTTTAGTAAAACGTATATATTAATCATATATTCATTTTGAATTTGTGGAGGCTGTCTAATTCTGCTCTGGAAACCGGTAAGAAACGAGCATCTTTTTTTTTTTTTTAATTATACTCTTTGATACTTAAAGGCGGTAACAACTCCCAGATTATAGGCTCTGCAAGTCAGGGTGGATTTGTTAGAATATACAAGGCACATGGGATATCTGTCCTAATAATGCTGTATCGAAGGAGAGTTGTGCTTTAATCAGGCCTCTCTGATAATAACATTAAGCTAAGGTATCTTGTACCAGATTCAGAAACTCATTCCATTGGAATTCTCTGTGTATCATCGGCTTGATATCTAACATTCTAGAAACCAAAGTGTTCCATTACTGAAAGAAGGATGTTGATTGAATTTAGTAGTTTAGAATTCATTGCCTCGTTCTAATTTTTCTTCTTTGTAATCCAGAGGATGAAAATTGGCTTTGCCTAGGAATATATCTCTACTCTAACAGAGCAATTTTTTTTCAAACCATGTAGTATTTTTTCAGGTAATTTGAATATTGCTTGATAGCTTAAGTCTGACTGAAATATTCCCTGAAGAGGGATCATATAGAGGTCAAAATGAGATGTGCATCTTGAAACTCCATGTGATGCTGCCATTTTACATGGTTATGCGAAGGGTGATTATCTACCATTTTAAGCATCTTTGATTTTATAGTAGCTTCTGTTGTAGTTGTGGAATGGTTACAACTGCTGTTTGGAAGAGAGAAAATGTTGTTGTGGTAAACAAAAAAGCATGCTATAGAGCATCTTTATTTTGAGGAAACAGAAAAGCACATTGGATATGTCAATGACCTTGTTCCTTCTGGCAGAAATGACGGAATAGAAGGTAAAGATGGCTGTTTTTGTAGTTGCAAGAATTCGAGATTGGGTTGGTGTTCAGTGTACCGCTACGAAGCTTGTTCTGAAAGCAGTTCTTGACAGTATGAGGTAAATCCGTCAAACTTGAGTTGTTTGAGTAGCTTTCGTGATTATTTAAGTTTCATTCTAGCAGGACTTTACCATGTTAACTGAGGAAGGAATTTGGACCTATGTACATCTCCTGAGTCCTGACTAGACAAAACTTACTGGATATTTTCAAATTTCTGGCTTTCATTGCAGAGAAATCCGAGAGAAAAATCCATGGACCTTTAAGACAAGTAATATCTAAAGTACCTGGTAGATTGCTGACTAACTTCTTTTTTGGTTGGGGCACCATGGGGACACCTATGGCATTTCTGTAATTGTGGTACAATGCCTCACTATTCATATATTGAGATTGATAAAGATTGTCACAGCATCTGGGTAGCTCTACTAGTCCACCAAAAGAAACCTTCATGAGTTTTATTATCCCTCTCCATTTCAAAGCACTAAATTGGACTGCGGTATAATATTTAATAGGCATTGACAATGAATAAATAAATAAATAAATAAATAAGCAGCTCATAAATTTGAATAATTTTATGTTGCATTGGTGGACTTGGGAAGAGATTATTCATGAAGTTGCTCAACCCAAATCCTAGAGAAGATCTCAAGTGTTTGTGGTGAAAGCTGAGACAGTTATCCGGGATAATATGTGCTCAAGTACCCTGCTGATAAAAAAATTTTAAGCAGTTATCAATGAAGCAAAGTAATTCATATATTCATTAAAAAAAATTCATAAAAAAATTTCCATAGACGGATTCAATTCCCTCATTTCTGATGTCTGCATTTCTTCACAAATGCAATATTCATGTATTTGCTAAAAAGACCAGCACTTTTTGTATGAAAAATCTTGGCCACTCAACAACAGTCAATTAATTTGTTGGAATTGGGTGTGCATGGTGCTGCTTCATTCTCAAGCAGATTCTGCAACATGTATTAAATTTGTATAGCTTTAAACAAGGTGGAATACACGAAGTCAATTCTCTTTTCTCTGAGTATGTGTACACAATCTCTTTTGACATTTTCAGCTATTATTTCAAATAATTACCTTTTAAGCATACAAGTTTGATAGTCCTCATATTCACTTTAGATCAGATGACAGGATGAGGAAAAACAACTGTTACTTAGATAGGTTTGCTGGAACTTCCCAGTCTGACCCATAATGCTTGGGCTTTTGGTTTCTCTGACATATTTGAGTAATTGGCAAAGTAAATAGTCTTCATCAGCCAAATATGGATCCTTGGAAGTGAGAGAAAGAGTTGTCAATGCAAATGATGACTTTGACAAGCATTTATTACATTTTAGTATCCCTGTCATCTTAAGTGCTTAAGGTGATTGTTCTATTTCTGAAGTTGAGGAGTCAAAAATTAGGCACAATCATGGAAGAAGATGAACTAATCTTCTATTAATATAACTGAGAAAATAAGCAGTTCAATGTTTATTTCTATAAATTAGTTATTAAAATTTGGATTCACCACTTGAACATTAGAATACATTCTCTTTTCCTGATTGAGCAGAGTTTTAATTATGTATGCCTTACCTAGTACTTTTCATGTTTTCTCGTTTCATTCTGTCCAGTATGTTGACGTATTTTAGCTTGAGGTAGCCTTTCAAGAGATTCTTAGTTTTGCCATGGTATTCACTTTAGTGACCGATTGAACTCAAATATGTCAATTCTGAGCTAGGTATTCTATTTAGAAGCTGTACGTTGAGAGCACCTGTTGGTTCTCAAATTAAAAGTATTATCCCTGCATTCTTCTATTATTGTAAATTTAAGTTCTTTTTCCTTCTCTTCAGTGATGCATATTTGGTATTCCACAGAGAAAGTTATCTTGAGTTTTATTCTATTCTTTGATGGAGCTTTAGGAGAATATTTTTTTATCTCTTGATGCATCTTGAACACTACGTTTTTGCAAGTTCAGAAAGCAAGTGTTATGTGATACATTGTGGATACTATTTTTGGATTAGAAAGCCTAAGAAAGTAGCCTGGCTTAAGTATATCTTAGTTCATTTTATTACATTGTACTGGCTCTATTTCTGGCGAGTTATTGTGATATTCTTTTCTGTCTCTTCCTTTGAAGCAGTATCATTAAGATATAGTACTTCAAATCATAGCAGGTAGATAGTTATGCTTAAGATTGATTTATGGTGGAGTAATCAGGTTCTGCAAGCTCAAGTATCGAGTAATCATCTAGAGATGTTTGAGTCTGATTACTGGAATTCTTTTGCTCTAATGTGCCACCATGTTGAGGTACATAGCCAACAACAAGATCAAACTTGAACTTCCATGTAGCTTGGTTGGCTCAGATTATATAAAATCTCCTTCAGGTACCCCCTTTTTCTCCGGTTTTAGAGAATTATGCATCCACATTATGATAGTGATTCTTGAAGTTACTACTGCTTCTTGTCTAACGTGTTGGTCAAAAATCACTGATCCTGAAGTCTCAATTAACTGGTTGTACAAATAGAACACCCATGCTCACATTTGTAGTTGGACACATTGTTGAACCATTCATCACTTTTGAGCTCCATTGCTTCATTAAGTACGATGACATGGAATCAACTTCTTGCTTGGGACTGCCTTTAGAGGCCAACTAGAAAGCTAAAGAGGCCTGGAATCCTGCATTGGAACTCAGAAATGAATTAGCTGATCGAAAGGAAAATGTCTCAAAAGGAGCAAGAAAAGCACCCTGCTGAGGTTACCTTGTTATTATGTGTCTCTCTTTGCCATTCCTTCAGTAACCAAAAGAGGGGAGCAGCTGCAAAGATGTTTGCAACGGGGAGGGAAGATGAGAAGAAGGGGTCGCATTTGAATGGACGGGAAAAGGTTGAATCACCAACCAGATTTTGGGTTTGGGAGCAAGTGACCTTAGAGCCTTCTTTATAGCTCTGTTAGGGAAATGGCTAAGGAGATTTGATTAGAGCAACTAGCACTCTGAAGAGAAAATAATTGTTTTTTATGTTTTTATTTAATATACTTATTTATTTGTTATTTCTTTCCCATGTCTCAAATGTCTCAGCTATTTAGCTGCTCCGAGCCCAGTGCAATGATCATCTCTCTGATGAAAAGTGACTGAAAGTAGGATGGGAGAGGGGAAGGGTGGAAAACTGCTTTCAGTTGCTATCCCTGTGGCAAAGGTTTATGGAAGGGCATTAGCAGGGAAATCAGTTAACTGTTTTGAATTGCTATTACACTCTGTACTTCGTCAACACAAGAATCTTTTGTTTCTATAAAGATTATTTCCCATTTGATTGGGATTTAGCTTGATGGAGATTTCATATTCTCTCTCTTATTAAGAGTCTTACATTGTCTTATTCTGAAAAATGCATATGGTACTAGCGTGGTTAGCCATCTCGACTCGGCCGAGTCCGACACGACTCGATCGAGTCATAACGGAACGGAGGAAACCGTTACAATATCGATTATCGAATCCCGAATAAATCCATATCCGTAGCGAGTCGCTCTAACTTAGCCAATGACTGAGTAGAACTCGTAATGCCCAGAATTGACCCAAATCTTCGA